CGCCTGTCTTCGGTCCCACGCTTCGACGCAGTTGAGGACGGTGCGGCCGTTGTCGCTCGTCCGTTGGTGCACGTTCGTCACCGACTCGAGCACGGAATAGACGACCTTGGCGAAAACCGTCTGAACTTCTCCATGAACGCGTCGAAGCTGGCAACGGAACCGACCCCGCATTCCAACTTGTCCGATCCTGGGAAATTCGAAGGTTCCATCGCCTCCTCGTCCGTGTACTCGATGGTTCTCAATTCCGGCCACATTTCGCACGTGGGCATCACCCACTTCAGGTATTCCGTCGGCAAGTATTCCAGCGACAACTTGTCGAGAAGTTTGACGAGTGCATCGTCTTTGTCCAAATCCATATTACGGTTACGTGTTGCCAGTTCGATCGACATCGTTGCAGTGATTAATTTTCGGTTCTCATTAACGGTATTTATATAGAAAAAAAAATTCGCACATACGTACTCAGATGGTGTCGCTATACTTCGTTGCGATCGCGTCGGCGACATTTCTGGCGATGCTGTGTGCTTTCACGCCCGACCTGGCAGTCGACGATGTCGAATTCTTGTGCACCGGGACGGTTTCGAAGCTGACTGTGTCGGAAGGAAAGGTGATCGCCGTGCTCGCGGTTCTACTGGGATCGGCGACGTGCAGCATGCACGCCACGGACGATTTTTCGATGCTCGCTTCCGTCTTGTGTTCGGAAGGAAAATGCACGTTGAGCGACGTCGGAGATTACGTGTACGTCAGGTGCTACGACGAGGACGGCAACTTCGCCGGCGGATCGGCGTTCCGCACGACGACGACGAGCGTGCCGTCTGACCGAAGCTTCCCTCCGCCGCCACTCTTCAGGATCGGGTACACGACGTTCAAGCACGCGACTCAAGACGGTAAGGTCAGGGAAGTATTTACAGTCTTCGAAGGAGACGTGATATTCAGGGCAACATGAGTCTGAGACGCTTGCGTTCCATCCAACGCGTGGCGTCCGCGTCCACCGTCTGGTTAGTGAGATCCAAGTTCGCGAGGAGAGCCAGTCTGACGATGATCGTGTGCGCCGCCTTTTCGTTCCTGTTCTATGAGACGTTCGCCGTCGAGAGATATAGTAAGTACGGATGCCACGAAACTTACGTCGTCGGTCAGGAAGAGTGTCCACCGCACTTGCAACCGCGAACTGGATCCGACGGGCTGATGAAGGTGGTGATCTGTGTCGGAGCGTCGTTCTTCGTTCTGTCCTTCCTGCCGTTCGTCTTCCTCGAATGGACGTTCGGCGCGAACAGGATGGCCGACGTCGCGGCCAACGTGCTCCGTTATCACTTCGACAGCACGGCGGTTTCAATATAGACAATAAGTAGTGAGCCCTCTGTTGGTCACTATTATACATTTTAGATATTCTCGTAGTTGGAGGCGCTAACGCGGAAGCGATAATTTCATTATTCTCCATACATAGGTTTTCAAATGACCAACCAACAGCTTTAAAATTAAAAAAATAATGAATATTCATGATATTATCGAAGAAGACATGCTAAACAGTTCCGTAGTATAACATAG